CGTCTCTCTCTCTCTCTCTCTCTCTCTCTCTCTCTCTCTCTCTCTCTCTCTCTGTGTGTGTGTGTGTGCAGAACGGCAATGAGGTCGGGGTCCATTCCGGTTGGTGCTTTATTGCACCACCGAACGAACGCCTCCAGACCCCTCCCCTCTCTCCACACCCTCACTAAACATGGCTCGTTGCCATCCGATCTGAAAATCTAACGGCCTCCCTGCAACCCACCACGTTCAAATGAACACGAAACTTCGATGCAAAAAAGAGGCCCTCTTTTTTTTTTTTTTTTCTTTCAAAAATTAGAAAAAAATATATTCTGATCGAAAAAAAAAATTAAAAAATATGGGCAGGTGCCCCTTTACAGTCCCCACATGTCTACGAAAAACAAAAGTACCACCACCAGGCAAAAAATTTAAAAAAACGGAGTTCCCGCTCTGCGTGAACTCCGTTAACTACCCGCGTTCACGTTTTTGGTGAACGGTGGCTGGCCCGCGTTCACCGACCCCGTGAACAGTGAACGGGGGTACGGCACTGGTACGAGCACCACCAGGTCAGTCCCGGTAATTCGAGGGCTCCATTCTATTTGTGGGGAGCTTTTGTGGCGGGCTTGTGCCCTTAATTTTTGTCCTTCCGGCTCTCTCACGCTACTTCCGCCTCGCAGCAAGTACCGGAGGGAAGCACGAGACAGGTCGGGAAGCGATGGCGGGGGGTTGTGCCTTCCTGCGTTTACACACAATGGGAGACAGAGTCCAAATGTTCCCTTCCTTTTTGACTGAAAATTTTAACTTTTACACTGATAGTAATCAAGACCTGGCTCGGCGAAGGACAATCTACAGTAATAAGAACATGCCGAAGTGGAAGTCCAAACTTTGAAAAATGATAAATAAAGAGTGCAATCATCATCGTCAGCTTAGCAAGAATAACCTTGCCGCACCCCTCTCCAAATGTGCAAAGTGAGGATGAACATCCAGCTAGAACATGGCCAGATGCGCCCCCAACATTTTTGTCTTCTTCACATTTCGAGAGTGGTGTGGAGAGGCCCTAAGGCAAAGGAATAGGTGGGGTACCGTTAATGAGGAGGGAAGGGGGGGGGGGGAGGAGGTGGGACTTTAATGAAATGAGAAGAGCTGCATTTACCAACGAGCCTGGCTCAGTTGCTGCACGCATGAACTGTAGAAACACAGACCTAAGTTGGAATCCGGATCATCATTGGACCGGATGTATCAACTATTTCTGCATTGCCTCAATTTGCCTGGGCCGGGGCTCATTTGGTACACCCATGATCTGTTCAAATACGGACCGAGGCTCGAATCTGGAGATATCAAACATTTCTTAAACCACCAATACTTGGCCCAGCTATCGGCCGCGGGCGGCTCCCGTTAACGCGCTGGTAGTTGCGCGCTTCGGGGCACCGAACCACAACGGCTGGAAGAACGCACCGGCTCGGCAAAACTTGGCGCACAGGGGATATCCCAGCTCGGCATCGGTAGCTGGGCCAAGTACTGGTGGTTTAATTGCCTGGGCCGGGTCAGGTGAGTGACCATATCACAAGGCCGTCTCCGTTTTTTTGAAGAAGGCAAGGAAGAGTTGTTTCTTAGGACATATATTAAATTGAACCTTGGCCAAGAAAAAAACAAAAAAAAACAGATTGAACCTTGGAAACTAAAAGCGGTAAAAAAACTAAGGGCATACTCACACGGCGAACCCAAGGCCGCAAAATATGCGGATTTGGGAAGGGCCGATTTGAGGTTTTGGGTATGGTTCACGTCACACTGCTGTACCTTTTCAGATGGGACAAGGTCGCGGCCATCTCGAGAAATGGGGGTTTGGTACTTGGCTGGTCAGACGGTGCCATCCACCAATTGTGCAAGAACTTTTGTGAACGAATTTTTGCC